GCTCTCGTATTATTCCTATACGAATTGTCATTTTTTGCCTACATCATGAATCTCAGCTCATGTAACAGCTAAAATTGTAGTTTTTGTTTTAAAACAAAGCTAAATATTTAGACAACAATCGTATGAGAGCTTTTAAGCAAATTCAAAAAACTTTATCTTTTACAAGCATTTAAAAATTAAAAACATGAAATTTTGCAAATTTTGCAAATTCAAATGCTTGTGAAAAACAAAGTATTTTGAATTTGCTTAAAAGCTCTCATACGATTGTGGTTCAAATATTTAGTTTGGTTTTAAAACAAAAACCACAATTTTAGCTGTTACATCAACTGAGATTCATGATGTAGANTTTTAATAAGTGTTTAATTAGAAACTTTATTTGCATTCTTTTCACAACAATTGCCCCTAGTTATGATAAATTAAACCAAACTTGATTTAAGCAAAAATGCATTTTTGTTGTTTACTTTAAAATTTTAATTTTTAAAATACTTGTCAATTATTANATAATACGAGAGCCAATAAAATAGAAAATTCGACTCACTCTTGCCTTAAGCAAAAATGCATTTTTGTTGTTTACTTTAAAATTTTAATTTTTAAAATACTTGTCAATTATTAAAAAATAAATGCATTTAAAAGAGCCATCGATTAAAATGATTGTAAAAAACCAGATAAGGTTTGCATTCCCGCAGGCAATTTGCAACGCCGTTAAAGAAACAAAAATTTTTTCCGTCATTCACTAATGTACAATGCCATTGTGTATGTGCTATGTCAACAAAAAAAAGTAGTAGTACGACCACAATAGCACTGAACTGCAGCAGTGACATGCTTTACTCTTAAATAAGCTGCTACTAAAAAGACAAAGGAAGGCATGTAACTTGAGAGCTAATCGCTGCACGAATAAGCACTGTTCGACGACGGCATGTAATGTCAAATCACATCTAATTAGGGCTAAAATTGTCATTCGATTTAGCAGTTTTTTCTCACTTTTGGGATTAAAAGTACAACTATACAAAAAAGGAGAGATTTTTGTGCTTGCATTACAAATGAGTGATTAAATTTTCACGCCACAAAATGTAAGCAATTAGCAAACCGAATTAATGATCAATTATGAAAATAATGCTAGTGCTGCGTGTAAAACCGCAATATTGTTAAAAAACATTGCAGACAACAATTATGCCCTGTCGCATTTATTGTGCGACACCGCATCTTTTTGTGCTTGCTGTTTCTTGTTTATTTTTTGTAAAAATTGTTTTGTGTCAATACCACCAATAATCTGGTTAATGTGCAAAAACAGTTGGCAAAAAACTAAACAAAAAAATTTTTTGCTGCAATTGAAAACAAACCAATTGCAAAGCTTTAAACGATTTCCAATTTCAATGTTCCCCAATCGACTAAAACTCAGCAGCCTGCATTGTGCCAGAATAAAGCTCACAAAAACTGTTTTCCACAGTGTGTCTGTAGCAGCTTTTAATCATACTGGAACTCACCTGACTAAAATTAATTTATGGTTTGCCAAGTGCTGAGGCCAAGAATAAAGGGTAAACCAATGAGACAGTTGTGGTCATCAAGTCAGATTGGCACATGCAAGTTTAAACCCACAGCATTTCTTATTGCAATGTGAATGATGGGCAAATATTGAGCTTAGAGTGTCCACTAATTTGCTGTGATAATAAAAGTTCTCACTGCATGAATAAAGCGTAGTGTGACATTTAAACAGCTTTCAGCGATGATGGTTGAGAAACAAGAAAGAACAAAAGTACGGCACTGCAACACAAACAATGACAATCGTTTGCTGTTGGTTGTTGCTCATTTACCAGTGCACAAGGGATAGACAAAAAAACTACTCACTAATTCAGTCATTAAATGTACCCGCAAAGTGTGTTTTTGCTTAGTCGGTCGACAGTAGTTGAAAATTTTATAGAATGTGCCTGGATTCAGTACAGTAATCAATTAGCCGCACCGTGTTTGACCATGTGTCCCTCCGATTAGCCACCATACAATAAAATTTTAATATTAGCAAAATTTGCATAAAAAATTCACAGTGTGTTTTAAACTGTGCTTACTAAAATCCGATTAAAATGANCCCAAGCCGTCGGACGATGCCGATCAACCAAATGACACCAGTCAATGCTTAAAAATTTAGAAAAACTAAAGAGTACGTGTCGCGAAGCGACACTCACGCCCTTGTTTTAATTATTTTTTAACAAAATCAACTATTTTTTTATAAAAAGTTAAGTTGTGCACACAAGTTTAAAAAATTTAATCAACTGTTTAAATTTATTAAAAACAAAACAGTGTAATTTACAGTAGTCAAAGTCTAGTGAGTTTAAGTAACAAGTCAAACAAAAAATTATACTTTAAAGAATTTGCAACTTGACACAAAAAACTAACTGACGGTTTTATGTAGACAGGTGCTATTCAAATGAGCAAAACCAAAAAATTTATCAAGTTTATGAACTAAATAAAGTTTGTCAGTTTAGTAAAACAACCAATTTATTTTGTGTGCTCAAAATGATGATAATGTCGCTAATCGATGCAATCAGCCACAAGTCAATGCCACAAATTCAANTATGTAGACAGGTGCTATTCAAATGAGCAAAACCAAAAAATTTATCAAGTGTATGAACTAAATAAAGTTTGTCAGTTTAGTAAAACAACCAATTTATTTTGTGTGCTTAAAATGATGATAATGTCGCTAATCGATGCAATCAGCCACGAGTCAATGCCACAAATTCAATGCTCCAGTGCCTCTGCCTAGAGAAGAAAGCGTCAGATTCTGGTGACAGTAGCCTTCTCAAGCACCGATGGCTGCTGTCCAATTACCGCGAATGCCAGTGGCAGTTACAAANGGTGACAGTAGCCTTCTCAAGCACCGATGGCTGCTGTCCAATTACCGCGAATGCCAGTGGCAGTTACAAAGACTTTTGGACGCCACACAAAGCCATCGCATTCTGTAGTTGAAAGGTTGACACTGACTGTGAAAGCAGTCAATCGCTGCACTGGAGACATCACTGCGCCACATCCTAGTTGCTGTCCAATATGCCTACCAGCCGAGTCAAGTGTTATTAATTTTGCCACAATGCATCTTTCTTTTGGAGCCTTTCCTTAATGATGCCTTTAATTAACGCCAACATCAGCATCACTGCTGTTGATGTGAGCTGTGTGTTGATCAGCACACCAGGCGTCGATAACGACGATGCACTGCGAATAATAATTAATACAGCATTCTCTACTGGGCACAGTGTGGGAAACAGTGCTTTGATGTGCTCTACAGGCGGACAACGACAAGGACAGCGACAATGACAACGAAAACTACAGGCACGGCTACAACTACCACGACAAGACTACTTCTCTGGCCATCGATGCACTAATGATGGCTGCAATTAGAAAGTTTGCATCTGTCAAAAACAATAAAACACTCGTAACAACCATTTTTTCACTTGATAATAGCGTCAACTGTTCTAGATGTTGTCGGCAGATTTGGGTCACTATTCTCAGTGGCAACATTCGCTATATACATTGATTTAATAAACTGAAAACCATAAGTTTAAAAAATATTTTATTAAATTTTGTTTTGTTCTTTTGTTATTTGACCATAAAACACCAAAAGGAACGATAACTTATAATTTAACGTTTTGAATAAATGCCGTTAAAAACCAATTGCAATGTTTTTTAGTGGCTCGGGCTAGTTTGGCAACTAATTAACAAAGAAAATATTGTCATGTTTTCATACACACTCAAATAACAAAAGAAAAAAATGCAAATAGAAAACATTGCACATCAGCTAGCGACAAACCAACAGAATGTCGTTTTGGACAAAAGTTGACACGCTTACACGGGTATACGGAAAAATGGACGATTTGTTTGCCTGTTCTTTACCCCAAAAAGTCTTGTGCCTGTCAACAGTGATAGCTCATACAATGCTGACAATTGTCAACAGCTTACATAACCGTTGAAGAGGGCATTGTTTACTGTTGCCTATTGACCATTTGCCCTTCAATAATATTCATTCAGTAATCAACTTGGTGCCCGTTCATACTAATTGAATTAATGAGCATTTGAAAAGGCAATCTGCATTACACTCCATTTGTTGGGTTGACAATGTTTCTTGTTGAGTTCCACTACATGCATTATATTAAAATTAATAAACTTTTCATGCAGAAGCATTAATTAAATAAAGATTTTCATGCAGAAGCATTAATTAAATAAAGATGCCACAGAACTTTTAATATCCATTTTTTAACACCACCTCTTTTTACTAAAAAACGTTCTCTTGCCTTTTTTCCTTCTCTCAACATCAGAGACTCACCAGTGCTCATAAAAAGCAGTCATAAAAAGTCGCCGTCGCTGCACTTTTCTAGATTAGCATGCAATTTCAATACTGCCATAACCAGATTGGCTTGACTGAAGGTTTCTATTGATGAACAATGTGAGTGTGTAAAAAGTGTCAAAACAGTTCCGGAATCGAGGAACCAAGTGTGTTTGTATGTGAGTGCTTTAGCGTCTACTTGAAATGGCCTTTTGCTCCATTAATTGCGTCCAAGGGTGACAACAAGCAGCAGCAGCACAGCGTTATGGCTCGAATTTGCCAGAAGAAAACAGAGACCAGTGTGTAATGAGACATTCAGGATAAAACAAAGAAAAAAGACAGCAAACAACTGGCACACACACACACAAGTGGTCGGTGGTAATTGTCAACGACTAACGTGCTTGTGCGTGTGTGTGCTCACTGGATAAGTCTGATGAGCACTCTGGACAGCGTTTCAGCCATCAATAAATGGGACACAACAAGACAGCAGTCATACTGTCAGACAAGGCCCATTACACCATAGTAAGCTTCATTGCTTTAATGAGTTGAACAAGTCAAACGGTGCAGATAAAACAGTTTGCTTTTGTCTTGGTTCTTTTCTTGAGTTTTCATTTTCAGTGAGTTGGCTGCTCCTTGTCGTGAAAAACGATCTGGCCACCTTTAAGCACACACCTAATGAGGGGACGAGTGTCACCAAAACGGTAGATCATGTGGCGCCAATCAGAAGCGTTTAGGAGAATGGCATCCCCGCGTTTGCCCACTTCCAGTGAGCCGTGGTTGTGGGAGCGCTTGAGTGCATAGGCAGCGTTAATGGTCGCTGCGACCAGCGTTTCATTCAACGTCAGGCCATAGTGTATTGCTGCGAGATTCATCGCCATCGGCAGAGAGTAGCCTAATTAGAAAAGGTGAGAAAGATGGGGATAGAAAAGAGAGAAAAAGGTAAAAGGAAAATTGTTATTTGTCAAAGTTGCCCACCTCCCACTTTCACTTACACATGGCGTTGGGATTGTAGTCAGTGGCAATGACTACAGGCACCCCCGACTGTACCATCGCCCGCACCGGCGGCACTGGAAGACGCAGCAGGTAGCAAGTGGTAGGACAAAGCACGGCGGCCACCTTGGCGCCTGCCATGGCGGCCACACTTTGCTGGTTGCAGTACTCCAGGTGGGACACTGAACGGGCGCCCAGACGAGCGGCCATCGCTCCTGCGCCTAGATCGCACAGCTCATCACCGTGAAAGGCTATTTCAGCGCCTGGGAATGCCTTCAGACCGTGCTCTAGCATCCTTTCGCTTTGCTTGAGGTCGTAAACGCCTAAATAGAGGGAGATTCAGTCAATGAATTTTATCGCCACTCTTGTTTAGTACAAACCTTTCTCACAAAAGACGTCAACAAACTCAACGGCCAAGTCCTCTTCCTTGCTGAGGCGGTCCATCATCTCAATGGTGTGGGCAACACCTTCGTCAGATGTCATGCCTTTTGGCACTGAGTGAGCCCCGAGAAAAGTGGTGACCAAGTCGGCACTTGTCAGAGAGCGAGCTCGCTGAATCACCCGCAGCATCTTCAACTCTGTCTCAAAGTCCAGCCCGTAGCCTGTTTTGCACTCTAGTACAGTTGTTCCGCAGGCGACCATGTGCTGAACTCTGTTTACAAGCTTTCTCAAAAGTTCATCTTCAGACGCCCTCTTGGTGTGTTCCACGGTAAAGTGAATGCCGCCGCCTTTGCTGTGTATCTCCAAGTAGCTGGCGCCTCGCAGTTTCAGGTCAAACTCATTCACTCGATCGCCTGCCCACACTGGGTGGGAGTGCGCATCGATGAGTCCGGGAATCAGTGAGCACCCCTTGCCATCAATAACATCTTCAATGTCTTCTAGGCTGGTGGCAAACTTTGTTTTTAGCTCCAGTTTCACAGCATCGTCATGTCCAACGGCGACAATCTGACCCTGTGCACCAAAGACAATTGAGCAGCCAATGTTGTCAGTTGAGCGTCGTTCAATTAAGTCTACGTGATCTTGCTCTGGGCCCACTCGGAACAGATCGCCATTAGAAGTGACCGAGACTATTTGTTCGCAGTTCACTATGGCACGTGGCAATTTCATGATCTTTTCAGTTTGTCTTTTCAGCTGGCAGTGACAGGAGAGAGCTAAACTCACTGGAAAATAAATGTTTGAGCTGATAAGAGCGAAGAGAACCCTCTGTCAATGTATTAAGTGGTAGCACAGTATCGATAAGATCAAAGGCAGCCATAAAGTGTGCTTGTATCTGAAAGCTGCAGCAGTAAAACGTGTTTGCCTAGCAGAGTGTGTACAGTGAGACAGCGGGGAAGGGAGAACTTGCTCGGCGACTTGCTGTGCCTGTCCGCAGTATGCACTGCAGCATCAGTCAATGCCGTACAAGCAGATGCGACAGAGCGAATGCAGTTTGAGTGTCATAATATTATATGCAAAGTGCGCACACTGAAATAGTAGGAGAAGGCAATCGAATCAGGAGGCAAGATGCTTTTTCCACCAGCTACTAATCACATTGTACGAACATTATCAGATTTGTAGCTATTTTTGCATTTTTGTTTTGTTTGCTTCAAAAAATTACAAAATAAACTTGATGCACTTGTTTCTTTGAAATAATGTTTTACAAAGAAGAGAGATACTCAAAATGACGCAAGTTTCTAGATTTTTTTTATAACAGTTTTGTTGGCAAACAGCTACCTAAGCGGCGACAAATATCATAAAGTCTGTACAAAAGTCCAGGACATTGAAATTCATAACATAAATTCACACGTTCAATTGACAGCAGTGTTTGCACAGTGGTCTACACAAGTCACAGCAACAGTCGAGTGAGTGAGAGGGGAGAGCAATTCAAACACGCTCTTACACTTGCACTGAATGACTCGGCATGCAAATCAGTGCACCCTAGGAATAGGGCATTGCCGGGCAAGTTGCCACTCAATATAACAGCTCCTGAATCGAGTGGAGGCTGTTTGACAAGCAAATCGATCGGGCTTCGCTCTAGCGCCACTGAGAGCACTGAAATCAAACACCATAGAGCCTTGGTCTGTTGCTGCTGTTTTGTCTGAAAGCCGCATAAGCATAGCACAAGGAAGGGGCAAAAAGAGAGAGGCAGTAAAGCAAAGCTGCAGCGGCCGGAAAGCTGCTTGCTGGCTTTGGCGTCATTAAATATTGATCGACTCAAATTAGCAAGACATCGATGTGTGTGAGTGTGTACCGTAAACAGGTCTGTGAGTTTGCAACTGTAATCGCGAATAAATCATGGGCAGGAAAGTATGCCCATGTGCGTTTCGTGTGCCAAATGGCGCTCCACCGATTGCAGTAAGGATAAAGCCACTCGGGCGTCTCACTTGCTCCACCACCACCACCACCAGGCAACTTTTCGCGCTCCCATCTCCCACTTTTGCCTCTTCATTTCCATCCTTCCTTTCTAGCGCAACCTTTTCGCATCAGCACAGACGGTCGATTCAAATGAATGAAAATGGGCACCAAAGTCGCTTTAGGACGAACTGGTTCGCTTCGCTTCGTCAAGCCAAAGTCAAATACAGGGAGACTTGTGCTGTGCGTAGAAGCACTACTGCAAATTGAATTAAAACAGGGGCAAAACAGTAATGGCCATAATAAATTAGCAAAGAAACACATTAAGGTAAATAGGAAAAATACTGCTGCAACCAATAGAAAAATCTATTGTATTCAATTGTACACTTGACCAAATGGTGGCCAGGTGCCTCCATTCGCGTGACGACTGTTCTTGGAGTGAGAAAACAAAAGCGCACACAGCAAATTAGAACAGCTTAGACAGGGCAAGCGAAAGGCCAAGAGGCAGACTTACACTATTTTCCTAGAAAGAGCCTTCCAGCGCAATTCCGCCAAAGGTAATTAAATTAAAGGCGATTAATTATTAAGGCTACAAGAGGTAAAAGTAAGACATTGCTACTGCCACTTGGAAACTGCTATTTTTTAGCTTGTATTTGCTTGGAAAAACATTCACTTGACTACTTTTTTAGTTGAACATAAAAAACGCAATAAGAAACCATAAAAAGAGTTTAGAAAATGAAACAAATTCATATTTGAGATTCAAAAAAAGAGAGCAATTGCATGAGTGACTATGGCCAGACCTAATGTGCGCCCGACTTCTTTTTGCAATGTTACACAAGTTTTTTGCGTGCCAAGCAAAAAGTATTGCTGCTAACGTTGTTGAATCAGGCGCCTATACGCTACAAGTAAAAGTGTTTCTAGAAGAGGAATAAAAACAAGCAGAATAGTTAATTGAAAAGACCAATTTATTTTTATTAATATTAAATCAACAATTAGGAGCAGAAAATTGAATTTACGACTGATTCAACGTCGTCACTTGCAGTGACAAACACCGCACTCAAATCAGAAAACCATAGTTGTTGGTGTTTGTTCTAATTAGCATAATTGACAACAATTGTGTCGTGTTGATTGTACAATTTGTCAGTACAATTAGAGTAATTGAGTTATTTTTGTAAACTTCAGTGATGTCTTTTGTTTGTATTTTGTGTGATGGTTTCGTTTGCTTATTCACATAT